TTGTCTCTTCAACGGTCAGCTCCCAAATGAGCTCCTCTCTGCTGTGCAGCCTTTTATAGGCTTGGTTTCATGTTTGTGAGTTTTTTTAATTTTAGGTTAGGCAATGTGTTTTCAAATGTCTGTGATGGTTTTAGACTAAAATGAATGTGTGTTTTTTAACCTTTGTAATGAAATTGCATGAAATGTATTTTTATTTTGTATATTTTATGAATTTTTAAAGAACTGTATTTTTAAGTGATGTATATAAGATTTTAAATTTGCATTTTTAGGGGTTAGGTTGAGGAAAAAGAACCTGTCCCTCTGAAGGAGGAACAGAGCGTGCACGGGCCATCAACCCCAGTGGCTCCAAGTCCCACGTCCCTCTACCTCCACATTTAATTTGTTTTTAATTTGTCCAGGTAAGTACTTTCTTTTACAGGTTGTGTGTTTTCATGTCCGTTACTTTTCAGGTAAGTATGAATTATTTTCAATTTTCAGGTATTTGTTTCCAATGTTGTTCTTTTCTTTTTCAGGTTGTTGCTTTCGTGTTCGTTACTTTGACTTGTTTCCAATAAATATTTTTCATTCCAATTTGCCTTCTGTGTTCTATTTTCAAATTTTGTTTGAATTTATCTCTAATTTGAGTTTTTAAGGAAAATCAATAAAAGATGAATTAAAAGATGAAATAAAATCCCCCAAAATAACAAACTAAAATAACAAACTAACATAAAGTTGAAAAAATTAAATGAGTATGCCCTTGTCGCGACGTTTCGAAGGTGTTTCTTCTTCCTCAGGCGAGGGCATACTGAAGAGCTCTGTGTTTTAAGCTCCTATTTATACTCTCCCCTCTGATCCCGCCTCCTTGGCTTTCTTTGGCTTTCTTTTTCATATCTTTTTCAGCTTTTTGCTTTTTTCCAATTGTGCCAGACTTTTTGGCTCTAATCTTTCCCTTCTTCTTTCTGTCTTCCTTTTCAGTCTTCTCCTCTTTTCCCTTTGTCTTTTCCCTTCTCATCCTCCTTTTCTTCCCTTCTCTTGACCTCTGCCCTTTACCCTTCCTTTAGGCCTACATCTGTCCTCTTTCTCTTCCAATTTTAGGTTATTATTAATGCCGACTTGGCTTTTTATACATTGAGCTTCAGCGACCCATAACTGAGCTCTCAACACTCTCGACCCTGCTTGGGGAGGACTCAACCCGACTTGGGGAGTAAATTTAGAAAGGAGATGCGACTTTGGGTTAGGCTTTAGGTTTCAGCTGGGATTAGGATTACTTGGGTTTTAGATCCAGTACTGGGGTAAGGCTTAAGATTTAATTTCCAAAAAAGAAGTACAAATGGGATAGTTTTAAAAGTAATAAATTTTAGGTCCAGATTAGATCAGGGGGTAGATATAATAGGGCTGAATTCCAAATTTAGGGTTAGGTAATTTGAGATAAGCAAATTGGTTTCAAATTGTATTCAAAATTGAGCCACTGTCATGGTCCTGGGTCGGTGACCCAGCGCTTTCAGTTG